GAGTATAAAACCTACACACTTGTAGCACTTTAGGAACTGATATTTTTCCAATATTCCTTAAATGCCAAACCAGAATTGTTTCCTAGCAAACTTGGTGAAGGGTTTAGGTCAGTTTCTACTTGCAGGTGACCTGGCTTCCACAGGCCTGTTTTGGTGGCATGGAAGCCCCTGATGGCGCATCGAGTTTCCTGATGTAGTTAGGGACCAGCATCGGCTTATCCATCTCAGTTTAGTCGGAGTTGGTCTCCTATGCCCATGCGATACAGGACTTCAGATCTTTCTGCAGTTAACCCCAGAAGTGAAACAAGGGGCACTGTTTGGAAGATGTGTTGAATGATGCCCCAGCTACAGAGCCCGTAGAGTTTCACAGCCCATTTCAGTACGTTTGGAGTCCTTGCAGACCAAGCAGGACTTAGGAACTTTCATCCCCCACTGGGAAAGATGAAGGGCACAGATTGAAGTCAGTTCTTAAGATGCAGTAGTCAGTCTTTGATTTCTAAATAATAATAATAATAGTAATAATAATGAGCATCGATATGCATCTCCCTAAAGCATCTCCCTAAATAGCACTGGAGTTTTAAGCAGCCATGTACTCTCCTAATTCTATTTTGCTCACCCTAGTGTTAAAATTCATTTTCATTCTGTTGACACATGCCGAGCATTGGCAAAGGAAGTGATCCCTAGGTGTCTTGAATTTAAGAATTAACTTTCATACTTTGGCTCTGGGCTATTTCCCCCTTGCTAATGTCAGCATTGGCATTTCCCTTTTTTTTTTTTTTTTTTCCCAATCAATCAAATCCAATTGTTTGTAGAGGGAACTGGAGTTGCAAGGAGCATTTAATTTTTCGTGTTCGGCACTGTAGGAGAGCAGACTGGGACAGTGCAGGAGTGACTGTATGGTGTTGCTTGGGAAGCACCCACAAGCTCTTTGAAACAGAATTTGGAACAGCTGGACCACTGCAGTGTTTTATTTTAAAATAGACAACATATGTAATGCATATGGTCCTAGACATGTATGGAGACACAGGCAGACGATCTGAATGGTATCCAAAGACACCTGCACCTAGAATTCTGTTTCCTTCTATAAGATTTTTTTCCCCTGAGAGCACATGTTCCCACTTTGGGATTTGCAAGATGCCATCTGAATCCCCATGTGTGTGACTCCTTAATAAAGTCAGTGGGAAGTTTCCTGGGATGGAAGTGTCAGAATAAGTTCGTTAATAAACACCTCTAAGGACCTGGCTCGGCAGGGGAAATAACAGATCAGAAACTTACCCTCAAGGAACATATTATCTACCAAGGGATTCAATTGTCTGTGAATCTATAGAGAAATTGCAACATAGCGCAGCAGAAACACAAAGACAGGACTTAGGAATTGGCTATACCAGGCAAAGGAGAACATTCAAGCTGAGCCGTGAGAAAGGACCCCCAGCTGCCTAGCAACAATGTGGCTTAAGAAGCAACCTGTAACGAGCATCAGCTATACATTTGGAGACATCTTCCGTTCTCCAAGAACATGAAACAAACTGCTTTGGGAGTGCTAAGAAGCCTGTGCGTTCGCTCCTAGGGACAGTTTATTGAGCACTTAGCCTGTGCCAGGAGCCGAGGTGCTTTTCACCCCCTTCTCACCGATCCTCTCAGCAACCCTCTGCGGGGAGACTCCAACACTGTCCTCAGCTGACAAGGGAGGAAAATGCGACTCAGATACTAATCAACCGGCCTCGCGTCACGTGCTTCTGCAGGCAGAGCTAGCCCCCCAGTCAGTCTGTGAACCCCTGAGCCCACCCACTGAACCACCTGCTATTTTAGCTCCAATAAACTTGTTCCTGTTGAATTTAGCATATCAACAGTCCATGAAATCAAAAAAAATAGAAGATACTTGTTGAAAGAGTGAATTTATTTATTTTGATGAAATAAATTCATTATATATACACATATGTCCCAGATACCGTTCTAGGTTCTGGAAATATAGTAGGGGGGAAAGTACCTGCTCAAATGGAGCTTGAAAATCGGATCCCTTCCACTGACCCCGTACAATAGCATTCCTGGCCTCCACTTCTCTTTCTCCTTCTGAGTATAATAAGCTTAATGAAACCCTCAGAGTCCACAGGAGCCAGCCACCCTTTTAAGCACTCTTGAGTTGTTGGAATCATTATTAAGATAAGGAGCGTAATTCTGAGTCAATGATGATTCTGCGTAAGCAAAATCCAGGGGCTGCTCCTTTTACTTGCTAGAAATTCCCGCTGCATTACGCTTCATCCACACATATAGAAGGTGTGCGAGGGATCTGAAGGATGATCAAATGACGGCGACAGCAGAGCGGGAGCTGAAAGGTCAGCTCATTTTACACACAGGAAACTGAGGCCCCGAGACAGCAACTCAGCCAGCATCTCACAGCTATTTTGAAACACAGCTTAAACTAGAATCCAGACCTCCAAATTCATTCCAGGCTCATTCTACATGTGGACCCAGAGAGAGAAAAGAGAAGAAGATGGGAAATGAATCTGTATGTGACTAGGTTACTTTCTGAAAAGGAAAACAAGCTAAAGGCTTTTTATCGGTAAGCAGGCTTTGGCAACATAAGACAGACCCAAACTGTTCTCTAGATGTCCTCTCAGCCAAGCGTCGAGGGTGGAGATGCTTTGCGATGGCTGGGAGGCGGGGAGTGGATCTGTATCCAGGTCTGCGAAGGAGCCAAGTTGCCTTTTCAGATCTGTTTCCTGAGTGGGCAGCAGGCAGAATAGTTCATCACAAAGTTTTCAAGAGGTTCAACACAAAAAGAAAGGGTAAGGGACTTGAAACACATGCCATATTTTAACAGCTACAAAAGAGCCCCCTTCTCTTTGAGCTAAATGACCGGTGGCACTGTCATAATTGAAGAGCAGTAAAATAGCCGAGCCAAGCTGGCAGAGAAAGGGCCGGCCCGGTTTTTCAGCCTGCAGCCGCTTCGGGGAAATCCAGGAGCGAGGGGCAGGTGCTGCCTGAAAGACCTCACCGATCTGCTCAAAGGGGGTGAGCAGGGTGAGCAATTGGTGTGTCCCACTCGGGTTTTCCTGAATCCAATCACCCAACATGATGAAGGTGAGAGGACAGAATCAGCCCTGAGGGAGGCAGAGAAGCCAGCCACCCAGACTGCAGGAGTGCCGTTCTGTGGGGTGGGGGGATCTGAAGTCGGAGCAGCTCTAAGACACTTGTCTTGGGCCAGAGGAGTCACACACACACACACACACACACACACACACACACACACACACACACACCCCTGGGAGTAGCTAGCTCCCCCCTTCCCCAGGACCAACTTCCTGGCCATCTCTGACCAGCCATCCCAAATCAAAGGAGAAATGTAGCTTGGAGACCAACCAACCAAAGAATCCTCCAAAATAAAGCACCTAACCTCAAATTGAAAACCCTTCCTTGAATACAAATCTGAGACAATTAACAGTGCAAAGAGGATTCTTTTAGATTCTCTAATATAATTTCTGCACATGTGGTATCCCTTGTGAAAGCGTGTGTGTTTTATCATCCGAGTGGAACGATTTGGCCGTTAAAATACTCGTTCTTCAACTTGCCTTCTGGAAACCGCTGCTTCTGTGTGTCTCGGGCATAAACAGCACATCCTGTTCAAACACTGACCACTTGCTGCTTCTACGAAAAATGGCTGAAGATTTGAAAATTCTAACAATAAGGAGGCAGGAATCTAACATTCCATGCATTTGCGTTTAAATGACATGCCAAATCTATAATGTGAGGAGAAATCATCATCTTAAATAAATCGTCATCTTAAATTATCTTAAAGTCACACTGATAGCATAACCCAAGTTTTCAGCCATTCCCCAAGCATGGAAGAGGGCAAACAGCTGCCTGGGCTGAAGGCCACATATGAAAATATTAGCCAAACACCCTCTCAAGTCAAAAAATATTGATTTTCCCTGTGTCCTGACAGCGTTCCTGGTCCCTGGCAGGCCCTCGTGTTCCAGTAAAATATTGCGTGCAAGGGAATGAAGAAACTCTTGCTTGATTTGATATAAGATGCTTTTCTTCCCAGTCTGCATCTCAGGAGAGTGAACAACCATGAGGTGGAATGAGCCGGTTCCTTGAATGTCTCGGACCTTCATTCCTACCTCTTCAGGATTTGCTTGAATTCTCTGAGCTATTTTGCTGATTGAGGATAGAGTATTTCTGTTACACACATTGAGATTAATTAGTTAGCCCTTAGGAGGTTTTGCCTAAAGCCTTCACCCTGTAAGGAAAAGTGTGAATACATTGAGATTATTAATTCACAATAAATGGGAGATCATAGCCCTTGCTGAGTACATTTGTCTGTCTCTTTGCTAAGCTTTGCTAGCTGAGTAAGCACACTGGAATGCGATGTTCCCGGCTGTCACAACGAAATTCCCATTTAACTTATTCTCCGGGTTTCCAGGCAAATCTTTTGTTGTTATTATTATTTTTTTTAATTTTGAAGGGTGGGGACCCAAACGTTTTGTGAAACCAAATTGGCAATGGGGCCATGGAAGGGGTGGATACAAATATTGTCACTTTGCTGAAAATCAGCTTAACCCTTTTCCGGATAATCCCAACAATTGTAGAGAAATTGCTCTAGACATAACCACTGGAATGGCAGAATCTATTAAAAACCTGAAAAGCTAAATAGGCTTTTATGAGCAAAGCTCCGATCTGCTTTCAGTGTTCGGTGAAACGCAGGCGAAGTTACGGTCGTGTGCTTAGTCTTTCAAGAACGGCAGAAAGGCACTGGAGTTGTGATCATTTGATAAACATATTGATGCCAATATATTTTTGCCTAAATGCAATAAACTCGCCAGTAAGTGATGCAAGTTGACAATGGGAGGTAAAAAGAATATCTTGGGGCTGTTGGTGGGAGGCAATGGGAAACAGCTAGTGTTCATACTGCCTAGTGAATTCCTGCGTATTTGAAATGTCAAAGAAAATGTGATGTGTTTCTCTAAACTGTGTCTCTCTCTACATGTGTAAATGAACAGACGCAGACAGAGCTCAAAAGCATGGCATGGATGAATTTATCTCGTCCAACCCCTGTAACTTTGACCACGCTTCCCTCTTTGAGATGGTGCAACGCCTTACTTTGGATCACAGACTTAATGATTCCTATTCTTGCCTGGCAAGTATATTCTTTGGTCTACAGCAATTTAAACATGGTAACATTTTTTTAAATGAGATATTTCTTTACCTTGATGTTTGAAGCTCTTTTCTCCATGACAGGGCCCCCTTAACCACTATAAATGTGTTTTTGAGGTCCTGAGTTGAGGTAGTTTTCCTCCCCAAAGAAGACAGAGCGAGAGGAAGTTATATCAGTAGAGATGATCCAATTCCCCAGCCTCCCTATCTGAGCTTCCCCTTCTCAGCTGCTAAGCGAGAAATATTCCCAAGAGGGTAATCGAGTTTGGCATCCGCTTGTGGAGGACTTGTAAAAATCAACTCTGTGTCTCAGACTTTAAGAACCCCCTCTCCCCATCCTAGAGATAAGACCCTGTTCTCCTATCTCAGAAATGAATGTGTTCTTTTTTCTAAGTTTTGTAAGATTACAATGATTTATAAATGGACTCCACTTTTCCTAAGCTCAACTGGTTTGGGTTTGTTTGTTTGGGTGGATTCTTTTTCTTAGTAGTATTTAAAGCATTTTTACCCTCTGGGGGAATTTTTTATAGCTCCTTAGGCATTTGGAAGTCCAGCTGTCCAGCAGGGCATCATGTTTCTTGCAATCCTGTTTTAAGCCTGGATTTAAATCATTTAAATGTAAGGGACCACTATTATGTCTTTACTGGATTTCTGAAGATACATTTGGGGCTTTGTACCATCAAAGTCAGAAGCCTGAAAAAGACCCAATTTATTTTCTTCTGCAAACCATAAATTCACTGGGTTTTTTAAAGGTAAATGTTATTAATCCCACTTTATCGGTGAGGAAGGTGAGGGGAAATGACGAAATGACTTTACAGAGAGGGAAAGCCTCATCCTTGCTCTACAGTTATTATTGTTAATGTATATCCTTAGCACATTACCAATACCCAATAAATATAGTGAAAATCTGTTTCTTTTTAAAGTGGTACGGCTATATCCTAAATCGATTACAACTCATTTTATTATAAATTTCTTCTTTTTTCCTGTACCAGAAGCCAAAATATTAAAAACAGTAGATAAAATAGTCTTAAATCAAAGTGGGATTATGTGGAATAATTTATTAATCTGCATCTCATAAAAGATTTATTAATTATCTCAGGTTTAAAATCACTTTATCAGAAGAATCTAAATTTTGCCAAATTGGAAAGGAACACATCATTTTATCATTTTGACTGGAAAAAAGAGAGAGAGAGAGAGAAAAGGCTTACCTTGTATTGCAAGGCAATTTTTCTCAAATGTTTCCTATGATTATGTGATTATTTACGTAATTATAAATTGCGTACATGAAATTTGTAAGAATAAGCCTCTGACCTTAACTCATTCCCTTTTATATATAACTTCTATTCTCTTTAAAAAAACATTTTGAGGTGTGTTATTTTCAAGACATTTTTTTACATCATCATTTTTTAAAACAATTTTCTTTTTCACTGAGAAATTGATCGCTAAGGAATTTTAATTTTCTAAAAAATAAAATAAATAAACCAGAAATGAAATTTTGAAGCTGTGTCCTATTAGTCATGTACAGGCTTATAAATATGCTCCAAAATCCAGAATTAATTATGAATAGCATAAAATAGTTTTCTTTCCCATTTGCATACCTTTATCTATTAATCATCATCCCAAAGTTTAAGAAAATAACAGCAATTAAAAGGCCTTATCTCCTGCCTCTATATATTCCATTTTCTCATTATTACAATCTTTTTTTTTTTTTCAGTTAGTTTTGGAGACCGACCAGCAGGGATACATAAATTTTTCTGTGTCTTCGACTGAGTTCCTAATTGATATTTCTTCAACTCTTTTCAAAGCAGCTATTTTGGCATCTACAAAAGACGTGGTGTCATCCGAGTCGTAGAAAATATATTTTAATCTTTCACAGCAGTGTTGTTTCTAAGATTTAGCATTTGGGGTAGCAGATGGAGTGGCAAAGAAGTTGCCTATAGGGGCAGCCCACTGCCTCGACTACTCTCCCGCCCTCTGCAGGGACTTACATGTGAAGGAGGAGAGATGCCGCCTCTCGCTGGATGCATTGCTGAGCTGCCTGTTGTCGATCGGAGATTCTGCAGATCACTAACATGAGACTAGAGGGTGCACAGGCCCCTCTTGCTGCACTCCTTCGGCCTCTGCCTGCCCCCAGTCACTTTCTCTTTTTGCGTTTACTCTCCCAATACAAAGCAGTATTCAAAAGGTGACTCAGAGAAGAACCTCAGAGTAGAATTAAATTGATGTTTAGAACAATCCTAAATTCCCAGATTACAAAGTGCCACCTAAAATGGTTCATTTCTTGCTTCAGAAAGCAACCGAAACCAAAAAAAAAGTCAGTCGTTGGACTTCAGGCTTGGCCCAAGGGTAACCTTGAGTGGCGAGTCACTTGGCCTTTCTGAGCATCTGTTTTCTTAAGTGCGTGATGCTTCCCAGTCTGCTGGAGTGGAGAGCCCGTCCTGGGTCTCGTTCGTAGCAGTTTCCTCTGTCCCACTGCAAGCAAATAAATAAGAAGAAAAATGAGAACTGTCAGAGGGCCGATGCTCAACCAGGGCACAGAAGCTCCTCTCGGTTGAATTGAACCATATCTGACTCACAACTTGAAAACTGAGTAGTATGTTTTTCTCTCTGGAGAATTATTTTATTATCCTCGTTTAAATTTTTTAAATTACAGTTAACATTCAGTATTATTCTGTATTAGTTTCGGATGTATAGCACAGTGGCTAGACAGTCATGTACTTTACAGTCCCCCCACCCCATGTTGGCACCATACACAGTTATTACAATATTATTGACTCTATTCCCCCCAATTTTTTCTTCCTAAGTGAAAGGATGTATGAAGTTCTGACATGTATGTAGACCAGTCATAGTATTTCTTAATGCTCCAGACTACAAGCACCAGAAGTTCGGAGTAAGACAGCGCTGAATTTGAGTCCTGCCTTTGTTTTGTGTTTTCGGGGTCATAGAAGCGCCCAGATTTCCATGTCCTCGTCTAAGACTTGAAGATGCTCTGCCCCGTCTACTTCACAAGGTTGCTATAGGGCTCGACTGAAAGTTCTTGATCAAGTGTAAAGCACCAGTTTCAGGATTTCATGTTATTCTTGTTCATGGCAGTAACGAAGACTTCGCCCCGAGCCCACTCCCACTCTAAGGTGTACAGCTCAGTGCTAGGAAAGTGGGGAGACCCTTTCTGGAATCATGCTCTCTGCTAACCCAGACCCCCCCAGTAGCTCTGGGACTCTAGGGAAATTCCGCGCCCCCCTCCCCAGCTGTTTCCCATCCCTCACGGAGAACGGCAGCTCCCCGCAGGGCAGCCTGAGGGTCAGACCAGGCAGCACGCACTGTGTGTGGCAGCGCCTGGCACTGAGCAGCCAGCGAGGGTTTGCTCTGGCTGCTTTTGACCCCGTCTCCACTCTCCCCCAACTCCTGCAGCCCTCCCCAAAAAAACCTGTATTTAAAAGAAAGTCTCTCCTTTATTCCCCAAACAGGGCTGGTTCAGTCCTGGCCAGGTGTTTGTCCTAGATGAGTATTGTGCCAGAAATGGAGTCCGAGGGTGTCACCGACATCTCTGCTACCTCAGAGACTTGCTGGAACGGGCGGAAAACGGCGCCATGATCGACCCCACCCTCCTTCACTACAGCTTTGCCTTCTGTGCATCCCACGTCCACGGGAACAGGTGAGCCCCCGTCCAGAGGCAACCCCAAAACGCTGGTTTATGGCTACGCTGGTCCTGTGTGCGGACCTCTGACTCTCTGACCATCCCGTTCCCTCAGTAGTACACACACACACACACACACACACACATACACACACGCATACACAAGCCACACAAATGCAAAGATCACAAAGGTCTAACTTAGTTTGTTCTCCCTTCAAGAGACTTAAAGGAAAAGGCAAATGGGACTTTCAGAGTGGTCTCCGGGATGAGAACAGTCTAGGTTTAGCTCAGGGCCCTCCACTTGCTGGCTATGACCCTGAGGGTAACTGAACTCTGTGCCAGTCTTCTTGCCTGTGAACAGGGACAATGATGTCCTAACAAGGTTGTTGAGAGGATGCAAGTGGTCATAACGGGCTCAGCACATGCCTGGAGCGTGGCAAGAGGTGAATAAATGTTTGCCTTGTTATTATCATTCTCTCCCTCAGCATTTAATGATTATCAACTGAGTGTCAGGCACTCGGGAATATGTTCAACATGCATTGTGGACCAAAACTGAACACCAAACAAAGGCAGAGGTGCATAGAGATTGGAGCGCTGAGAAAAAGGAATAAAACTCCGTGATCGCATTTAGTAGCGGAACACAAGTCAGAGCAGGTGGCAGGTCGGCAGCAGGGCGGCCCTGAGGAGGTGATGCTTGGGCTGAGAACCGGAGCAAACGCAGGAGTTGGGCAGCTCCAGGCAAAAGGAGCAGTGTGTGCAAATGCCCTGCACAGGGAGGAAGCCAAGGCCATTTCAATAGCGAAAACAAGCACGGTGAGGCTGGAAGGCAAAGATAATCATAACATTTTTAGTTTAACCACAGAATTGGGCAGAACTTTCAAGATCACAGTGTAATCAGCCCCCTCATTTTACAGGTTTTATAGACAAGACCAGAACATCAGTTCTCCTAACTTTGTATGAAGTACTCTCTTCCTTTAGACATTGCCCAGCTCCTGGAGGAAAAGATCCAAGTTCTGAATAATGCAAAACAGCAAATCATTTAAGAACATTTCCATTTGGCTCTGAAGACGTGAAATAAATTTCAGCCCTGCTACAGCCAGCTTACTGCCCCAATGCACAGCCTCACACGGCTGTGAAGACAGCCTGCACTACCCCGGGGCACCCCGCCGATGGCCAGGGGAGGCACACCCAGGGAACACTAGGTGCTTCAGAAACCCAGCCTGTGACAAAAAAAAAGTTGCTGCCCTGGGGAAAGTACATGTGAGAGGATCCAGAGTTGACTGCATTTATTTCAAGTTAGAACCGTGTCAGTCATCTTTGCCAGCCATACAACTCGGAAATGTCCGCGGGGTTTGTTCTGTGCTTTTCCTCTTTCTAGTGGTGGTAGATTTTACAAAGTGCAACTTTAGCATTTAGAGCTAGATAACAATAGCATTGGAGGCTTGAATATTTAACAGGCAATGAAGTTTTCATCACCTCCCATTATTATCAGGTTCACTAACCCAGCACATGACCTTTTATTTGCACAAAAGATACTCATGAAAACTCTGATACCTGAGAAAGTATCTGTGCATAATTCTGCTTTTTATAAATATGTACACTTTGATGACTATCTGTTACAGCCTCTTGGACTGAATTCTTTAAAGAGAGAGAGAGAAGTTGCATTATATTCTCTGGGTTGTCACACTGTATTCTACATATGTTACTGAATAAGAAAGTGTTATAAAATAATGAAGTGTTTTTGTAAACTCCCTGGTAAACATCATCATGAATTATGATACACATTGTCTGGATTTCATATTGTAAGACTGCCACTTGATTCACAGTTAGGTTTATACATCTTGTCATGGAAACAGTTTTGGATTTCTTATTTTCTTTTCAGTTCTGATTTTCCTTATGCAAGTTCGCATCTTTTTTCCCCCTTATTATTTTAGTTTGAATTCATTTGCTCTTGCTGTTTGATGCATCCTTCTTTTTGTTTCTTTTGTTTGTGCATGTGTGTGTGCTCTTGATCTCCTGTGGCTGGCCACACTCTGTGCATGCCCCATGCACCGCCCCTCTCCAAAGTCAGCAAATGCATGTGTACCTTAGTGGGCTGCCACCAAGTACAGACCCTGAAGGGAGCAAAACTCCCTCCCCATCTGAACCAGAGGCTAAAAAAGATACAAAAAAGGAATGTAAAAGAAGAAAAGATTTCAAAACTCAGGCAAATCCAGAGCCCAAAAGGTAAGAAGTTACATGTGTCTTGGCTTGTGATGTGCAATGTCTGTGACCATCCCCTACACCCTCCCCCATCCATGCCACAACCTCTGCCTGAACGAACAGCAAGCTTTTTGTATTCCTGATATCTCTGTTCCCGGAAGGTTTTCAAAAGTGCACTTTAAAATAATGCTGGCAGTGGGTAAAAATGCCATGTATTAGGGCTGAATTTGAGTCAGGTGTTTAGTGACTCCTAAACATGTTCTTATTTTAAGAAACTAATTGAGCAATATATAAACAGAATCATGAGTCAGATTGCTTTTTTAGTGGCATCTAGTTAGGGGCCTGGTACCTTACCAAGTCATTCATAATAAGCAACCCATGCTTTATAATTTTGAAATTATGTTTCAAGAGCAAATAAAATGTGTTGGCATAAAATGGGTCTATACATTTATAGCAGCTCTGTCGTTTTCAGCAAACCCCTCTCAGTTCCACACTTATCTCATGAAAGAAATCAATCTTCAAATAATAATTTATAATAAAGTCACAAAATAAAACCTATCACTAAATTAATTGACTCTTAGTAGAATCACTTATATAATAAGCACACCATGAAGGCACTTTTAAGTTCTATAATTATGTTTATCCTCTCCTGTTTCCTATGACCTTTAAAGATACTCTCTTTGTGAATTGATAAAATGGCAAATTGGTGGCTTTTTTTCCTTATAAATTAGATTTAGAGTTATTTCCTGTGTTACCCACGTGTCCTTCTTCGCCTTCCCTACCCTCACCCTAAATGAACACTGAAATCTTCAAATTTCTTTGTTGCGGTTTTGAAACTGATATTGTGACCCTGGTGGACAGTGCCAAGCCGCACAGAGTTCTCAAGCAGGTATGCTTTATGCTCCAGTATGAGTTTATCCACTGGAATATTTCTAAGTCCTGGAAGATGTGCAGTTTATTTGTAGGCAGACAGAATGTCAATGCCAGCTATCACTTCCTAGAGCATAGCAGGCTGTCAATCAGTGTATACAGGTCTAATAGTGAAGGTCTAAGTAAGCCCTGACTCCATGTGGACACCCATCTTCTGAACTTGCAGTATGTAAGGATGGAGGTGAAGTGGAGTTTCTGTCTGTGCTTCCCTGAGAGGGTCGGAATGCAAGGCAACAAACAGTAGCTTGCAGCAGTAAGAAAGAGCCTTGAGAACGATGCAGGTGCCTGAAGACTCTGGCTGCTGTCCAAGGTGCTGCTTTTGGAGTGCTAGGTACTGAAACAGAACAGAGTGAATGGTCACACTTGATGGAGCCTGACCTAGTCCCTGTGCCATGAAAAATTACCCAAACGGATCTTCAATGGTACTTTGAGAGGCTTATGTGTGTCCCAGGGTCCATGTTCACCTGCACTTTTTAATGAAGGATAAATCATAATATTAAGTATCACTTGTGTAGCATTCTGCAGTTTACAACATACTTTCCTGTAGTCTGTCTCACTTGCTATCACATTTTCAACTCATCTATTTTTACATCCATTTTTCAGATGATTAAACTGAATGTCTGCTCACTGACGTGGCAAACCTAGATGTTCTGAGCCCAAAACTTTCTCTTTGCATATATCAGCACTGCACGTAGAGTCTGAAGATCTGAGTATTAGAGCCAGTTCTGTGTAAATATGGATTATTGCATCTCCTTTCTGCACCTCAGTTTTCTCATCTGAAAAGTGAGCATACAGAATCAAAGCACTGGTAATACCTTGTCAACCTCTAACATCATATTCTATGGGTTATAATAGCAAATGAAGCAGGACCTTGTCAGATTTCATAAATAAAGTTTAATTAAAATAAGGACAATTGTTGCCATTGCATAAGCACTCCCTACGTGCCAGGCACTATGTGCAGTGCTGTTTACATGTATTACTTTATTTTATCCTTATTACATCCCTGTACGTATTCTTATTACCTTCATCTAACAGACGAGAAGCCTGCAGCTCAGATCAGTTTGGTCACTTACACTGTAGCAAATACGCGAGTGAGCCCAATGCTGTCATGGCTGTTCTGACGGGGAGCTTGCCCTGTGCCTCTCTGCCCCGCTGCCTGACCTGCAGCACTTGTGTGCAGTGTGAGGTGCCAAGTTCAGCCGTTTTGTATGAGTTTTAACATTTCAGGTGAGATAGATAGTAGTCATATGAATTCATTAAAGAGATTTCCATTTTTGTTTTAAAAATATCCAAAATCAGTGTGGCCCTCCTGATCACGCTGGCCGGGTGGAGAAAGCCGGGGCGTACCTAAAGTGTGAGAGCACTTCCGAGAACATCTCTTTGGAACACCATCAACAGCTTTCGGTGTTGACAGGATCATCTCCCACACCACTTTCTCCAGGATGAACACTGCATGCAGAGGTGTTGTCTATTCTTTGACCCAGATTAAGAAGGAATTCATGGTTCATGGTCACACATGGCCCTTTAACTAGATTTAATGAAACAATAGAGTCTATTTCTATTGTCTTCTCACAACCAGCTTCGGATTAGATAATAAATCGCCTTTGACCTAATTATTAACGTTTTACCCATTAATAACTCAGCAGCCCCAAAGGCGGAGGCAGAGCTCAGGGGCCGATGCCCGAGTTTCTCCCGCCTTCTCTGGAAGCTGTCACATCTCTGTGAAAAACTATGCCTGTTGTGAATCGCGAACACATAATGCAAGGGAGACATGTCCAGTCAATCAGGAAGATGTTTGCTCTCCATTATTTCATTCACTGGAAGATATAAAACCATCCACATGTTTAGCCTCTTTTAGAATGGTGGCTCTTAACTAGGGGTGATCTTTCCCCCAGGGACATTGGCAATGTCTGGAGACAGTTTTGATTGTCACACTGGAGAAGGACAGTGCTATGGTCACGGAACAGGTAAAGGTCAGGGATGTTTCTAAATATCCACAAGGAACAGGACAGCCCCCTACAAACAAAGCCTTGCAACGCAAATGCCCAGGGGGCGGGCTGAAATGTCTCCTTTTTATTTGTATCTTTTATTTCTTTGCACAAACTTTTTCTGTGTCTAAAGGCATAACAGTTGCCACCACTGATTTTTCAACTCTTGCAGTGATTCTCACACTCTAGTCCGCATATAAATCACATGGCGAATACTAGGCCCCACCCTAAAAGAATTTGCTTTAGCAAGTCTTGGATAGAGCTAGGCACCTGCACTCTTCATCAGTTCCTCCCAGGTGGCTCTAAGGCATTTGGTCTTCAGAGCCCACTGATTTAAGGCCTTGCTTGTCAAACGTGGCTGCACATTGAGTGACTTGGGGAGCCTAAAAGATGCTGACACATTAGCCCTGCCTGCAGAGGTTCTGATTTGATTAATCTGGGATATGGTCTAAACATCAGGTTTTTAAATATCATGTGATTCCTACAGATAGCAACATTTGAGAACCACTGATTGAGGGAACATTAGTCTGGGTCAGCTCGTTAAAACTGAACCCATTTTCTCCGAGAAGGATAAGGCAAATGTCTGTTCAGCTGGTTGCACTTGGCGATCATAAAATCCACAGATGTCAATCGCTGCATCCTCCAATTTTCAAATCAGCTCCTAAGGTTGCAGTACTTAATTTTCACCATAATATTTTCAGTATTCTTTCTAGCTGACATTTAGATTAGCATCACTTTGGTCACTGTCCCACAGCGACAAGGCAATCAAACGGCTCCAATGATTGCAACTTGCGTCAATGTTCCTTGGATCCCTTTATTATTGGGATGGGAAATTTTTCTCATTTACATTATTATTTAACATTTCTTGAATGCCAGTGCTGCTCTTCACATATGGCCTGCGTAGAAAGTACATTGTATCAGCAATTAACAAATCCGTAATGCCAACCGCCCCATTCCAAAGTAAGCTGCGTAGATTAATGAGTCTGCAAGCAGATGTAAGAGGACAGGAGTCCTAAAAATCTCTGAAAACGTGTCCAAGGATTCTTCTGGGAGATGGATTAGGAGACAAGGTGCTGCTTGTGTGCAGAGACCAAGTGATCCCTGCGGGCGAGGTCTGAGCAACGGAACAATTGGATAGAACTCACTTTTCTCCCATTATTCCACTGGGGTCCCCAAGTCTTGAGCAAGGGGTTCCATTTACCCAGTTGCCCACGACAGAACCTCAGGAGTGGTCCCTCCTCCTTCTCTCTCGGCACATCACAGGGACTCAGTTATTATGCCCCGTCAACACCCTCTAGTCTCTCTCAAGTCCATGCCCTCCTCCGTCTCATCAATGCCAATGCCCGAGCTCAGGTCTTATCTACTCTTTCCTGAACCACAGCAATTGACGGAGTTCTTGCCTCCAGTGTTGGTCCCTCACTCCCAATCCATGTCACGTAATGGTTTCTTTTATTTCACTTTTGTGAATAACCACCTGGAGTAAATGAGTGGTTTTTGCATATCTTTATTTTTCCTGTTACTCCAGTCTCACCTTCCCCCCTCCCTCTGGCACACACACGAACATCTATTACGACATTACATCCGGGCTTTTTAACTCTCCCCCAAAAGAGAGGGAGAGAAAAGACTGTGGCAGGGAGAGCTCTATTTCACTGACTTCTGAATACAGCACTTTAGTAGCAGGCGGGTGTGGATGGGGGTGACAGTGACCCTGACATTCTTGGCCTCGTGTCACACACTGACGCAGACATCATTGCACACGCGGGCTGGAGCACGAAGCTGATTGGCCTTCTAGCTCTGAGCAGGTGTTCGCCTTGCGTACTGCTGAGTCCTGTCCTCTACGTCTAAGGAACCAGCTTCACCTAATAGGAAGTACAGGGGTGAGAGAGAGAAGTCCAAACACATTCCAAATAAAGTGTGCATCCCAGGGAGAAATTTGCTTCAGAACTTGCATTCTGGCTTCTAATGTGACTCTCTTCCTGAAGGAAATTTGCTCCAGGAGAACAGCAGAGGGTCCACCGCGGACCCGAAGTCTTATAAAATGCCCTGAGTTACCTGGCCCATCAGTGCCATCCTTCTAGCCCACGACAAACATTCAAGCAATAAGCA